TTGGCTGATACTGAATTCAAAATTTAATTAGGCTATTTTTTTCCAGATTTTTATTAGACAGAAGCTCATCCTATTTTTGATACAGTATTGTCAAGAGGATTCCACTGTTCATTTCTGTAATAAAGAATTTTAAGTACCAAAAGGCCTATATATCTCTGCAGCAACGAAATGAGCTTTCAAATCTGATTTAGTGGTGAAAACCTATATTGTCCAGATAGACTATATGTTATTTCTTTGAATCCTACTAAGACCTACAGTTTGGATGCATATTTTCATGTCTTGGTCTCTCTATTCTGCCTTCCAAAAATATTCCAATCCTTTATGGAATAACAAACTTACAATTACCTTAAAAAATCATCTTAGAGTGCAGCCTGCACTGACATAATGTGTGATATAATGTGACATGATAGGGCTGGAGATATTAGTGAATAGCATTGCGATATAAGTCCGATAATTGTTGATTAGTTTATGGATAAGATAAGAAGGTTCAGAACTTTGTCAGTTTTATTTTGAAATTCTTTAGATGGATCCAGAGCTGAATTGTTTACTTCCGGTGTTTAGGGAGCGGCTGAGCAACACGGAGTCCTACCTGTCAAAATGTAGTTCTAGCTGACATAATAGACATCCAGCAGTCCTCCAACCGCTTCCTGTTCACCGAGGTGGGACTGAAACACGGTAGGTTGTCCTTGGAGACATTTTACTGCAGGGGTCTCCAAAGTGGGTCCTGGAGGCCCGGCATCCTGCATGTTTCAGTTCTCTCCCTGGTTTTACACACCTGCATCAAATGATGGCTCATTAGAAGGCCTAAGCAGAACACTGACTTGCTGAGGAGGCTGTTACAACCACTAGGGAGAGAACTAAAACATGCAGGATGCCGGGCCTTGAGGACAGACTTTGGACACCCCTGTTTTACTGGCTGCTCCTTTAGCTCACCGTAGTTTGAACGAAGAATACCGTCAATACGGAGGATGATGAAACATACCCTGGCAACAACAAAGCAAGAAGAAGTCTACTCGGAGGTCTTTTGAGTTACTTGCAGATTTTGATTCTAAGCGAAATCTGGACATAAAAAAGAAATGAAAAAGATATGGCTACTTGAATGTTGGCACTGAGAAAACGAGATTGCAGAGAAATCAGCTCTGACAGTTCCTACCCAACTTTTCTCCCCCAATCTGCTCTTGAGAATATTCATTCACATTACTTTGCAATAACAGTAAATTAATATTAAAATTCCACAAAATACAACCATAGTATATGTTCTTGCAGAAAAAATGGTTATGTATTTTCATAAAATGCAACATTTTCAAATATAAATGTCAAATACCTCATATTTGACATTTATGTAGTAAAGAACATGTAATAGTTCTTTACTACACGTGTTGGGTCCATTAATAACATGTTAGGGCTACTTGTAATTTAGAAGCATAATAAAAAAACAATAGACTTGAGTTGGTTTGGCAGAAACAAACATCCTCTTCTGCTCCACTGAACATAAACGTTATCTTCCCATTTCTATTAGTTGTATTTATGTATTGTATTTATTTGACAAATAAATTACTTGAAATTAAAATAAAATAGCTTTTGACAAGTGCAGAGCATCATAAGCAACCTAAGTCACAACAAACCCAAAAAAGATCGAGCCGGTCAAAATCGAATTGCTCATGAACGTCACATCAATGCTCTAAACAGGTAGTTGACTTATCTAAAAATCTATATATTTTAGAGGTAATCAGATTTTGATTCATTTTCCAACTAGGCTGTGAGCAACTGTTTAGGTAA